TAGGGTTGCCACCTTTTCTTCAAGCGAAACCCGAACACTCAAGCGATGCACAGACATTTTTGGGGGAGAATGAGTCGTGGCTTATTCATATGTAAATATTGCCGCCCATTCATATGCAAATATCACAGTTGAGACTATTTTCAGTGGGGGGCCAGTAGCCCCTATTCTAATTTTGGTTGCCCCTGTCTGCCTGACATCTTGTGCCCGGGTCTCTGCTGCCATGAAACTCGAACACAGCATTCAAAACCCGAACTGTCCGGGTGAATCCTGGACAGGTGGTAACCCTACCTGGAGATCTACTTTTGAAATGACGAGCTCAATGAGACCTACCAATGAAGAAAAGCCTGCATTCAGGGGCGGGAGGGGCCCCCCGCCTGCAGTGTCATCGCCTGCACTCTGAACGCAGGCACTTTCTGCTGTCTCTTTTCTCTCTCTGCTGTCTTCTCTCCATGTCCATGACCGAGTGCCCGACTTTTTAGAGGGGGTGACACCAAAAGTGACTGTCAGTCATGTTGGTGTCACCCCTGCAATGGTGTCACCCCACTTGTGACGCCACTGCATAACCTTAACCTAACAGCAAACACTAAGAAAACCCCAAAAAATAAATGCTTACCCTATTGGGTGCTGAAACTGACACATCTTAGATGAGATCTCCAAGGACCAAGATCTTAGCACTGAACACGGCTTGTTGGAAATTCTATATCAGCTTTTCTCAACCAGGGTGACTTCTAACCTCCTCAGGGGTGCCATGAAATTTTCACACAGCGTCATGTTCCGCCTCCCATCCCCTGCCATACTGTTGCAGCCACCTGATGTGATGGCAGGACTGGTAGGACCTGATGTGAAGGTTGAAAAACACTGTAATATTTTGGTCTATGGGAGGAAAATGAACCACTTAACAAGAACCTACATAAACACAGGATGGACGTACAAACTCCATGCATACCTTTCAGGGAGAAAATGACTCTCTCGTGGACACCAGGGAGCTGCTGTCCAAAAGAGGGAGACTCCCTGAACATCAGGGAGACTTGAGATCCCTGATATTGTATTTTAGTGGAGAAGAAACACAGGGCCCTAGAAAGAAAGACAGGAGTGCTGCTAACCACTTAGAAATGTTGACTTCTGAAAAAATGGTTATCAATTCCAGATTTCTTTCTGTTTATCCTTTTCTCTTTCCATCCTATCTTAGGTTTCGGGAGCTGGGGTTGGAATAATCTCTTTTAGCAAAGGGGTAGAGCCAGCCTTGGCAATGGGAGTTTATTTGCCCCAAGTGGCTGCTACCATCTGTGTCAATGGAACCAATGCAATCAATGGAGAGGCTCTCAGCTATGGAGATATCATCTTTCCTGCAATCCCTTATCAAGCAGAAAGAATACTAACCACAGATAGAGGAACCATTCTCGTCTATGAGTTAATGGGAGATCCAAGAAAGCCTGAATATCATAATTCCATAATTCCAGTGGAGAGGGCCCGAGGACCCATCCTCTTTTTGGTGGGAGAAAATGACCAGGTGTATAACAGCTTATTTTTTGCCAAGGAGGTATTAGCCAGAGCACACAAATACGGCAAGCAGGATGTCTACTTACGGAGTTACCCTGGAGCTGGCCACCTTCTGGAGCCACCCGGTTTACCCCATTGCTCTGTGAGCAGAGTTCATTTACTTCCACTCCCATTGAACTTTGGGGGGGAACTTGTGTCTCACTGCAGGGCCCAAGAAAGCTGCTGGAAAGAGATACTGGACTTCCTGCGTAAAAATATACCATGCTCTCGGCAGAATAAGTTATGAAGAATTGTTTGCTGTTTTTGAAAAGCTTTTCTACTACAGAGAGTTAGCTAAATCTATGGGACTGATTTTTAAAAAGAATTACAGCCACTAGTTGGCGCAGAGGAGCATAGGAAATTCCTATGCTCCTTGGTGCCATCTAGTGGCTGCAATGAGTGGCAGGTATGGATTTTAAGGCAGAAAATAGAGTTCCGCCCTTCACTTGATTTAATTTTTCCTTTTAATTACATTTTTTTATGATCATTTTTTTCATATGATCATTTTATTTTGCTATGGTTGCAATCACAATGTTGTATCCTATTATACTATTTTTGTTGTTTGTAACTTTATTTTTGGCATTCCCTAGTGCGTAACTACAAACAGATTGCACAAACTGGGTCACCCCTGGATTCAGAGAGAATCCCATTTCTATGGACAGCTGCTGAACCCAGGCCATTGGGCCAAATTATAGACACTGCACCAACCACCTAGAAAACTGGGCCCAGCACCTTGCTCTCAGCTCTACCTGTATGCATAAAGTCCTGTCTCATGTAAAATGTATCTACTAGAAACAAAAGCAAACAAAAAAATGTTTTATAGTTTGACTGGTAAATTACACATGAAAATTGTATTATCACTGTACATCACAATGTGTTTAGCATCGCAGGTCCTTTCTCACTAGGGTCTCAGCCTCCCCCTGGCGCAGCACCATCAATTCTCGCGCGAAGCAGCCATTCAAAATATGCTGATCGGCCCTGCGTGTCAGCTTGAGGTGGGGTGGGTCAGGCTGGAAGTATGGCCAAAAGGGAGCTTCATCCATACGTGCAAGGGAGCTTACAGCTCCCACATGTGCCCTGTAAAGGGCGCGCAAGGGAGCTGTACAAACAATGCACATATGCATGGAGCTCCGTCACAGCACAGCAGCCCACACTGGACCCCAAGCTGAGCATCCACTCCAGTTCTCACAAGGTAGGGGGACTGGGTGGATCCTAAAAAAAAGAAAAAAATTATTATCTTTTGGGGGAGTGTGTATGTGTGAGAGAATGTCTGTGGTTGTGTGTGTCAGTGTTATTGAGGGTCCGTTTACACTAGTACAGTGCGTTAATCACACTTATAAAACTCTAAGTGCATATATACTTAGTGACAATTATACAAAATGTTCACTCCAACTTATATATAGTCCATATAAAAATGTTCCCAAAAATGATATGATCAGAAATAAATGTGATGAAATCCTTGTGTTCACTTTCTTTGTATTACATCAGTGAGTCAAATAATCATTGCATATAAAGTTCCACCCTCACTCGTGACTTCTGTGCTTCAATTCCTCGTCAATTGAACCTCCAGGTGCACAAACACTAGCACACTCACCAGATAATTCTGACCACCCAGATTGGTTTTATAACGCTCTGCAAACTTCCCTGGCGTCCGATGTCTCCTTCTCCACCGAATCACCAACGGCTGAAAATGATGAGTCCGCCCGATGTCTCTCCCAAGTTGGAGTGAACATTTTGTATAATTGTCTAAGTATATGCACTTAGAGGTTTATAATATTAGAGATAGCGCAGTGTCTTTTGTTTAATATAATGTTGGAGAAGTTTATATAGCTTCTCTCTATCTCTGCGACTGTTAATAGGGTTTTATTGAGGATTTTGGGGTAGAGCACTATAGCGCGGGTAATCATTTGTTTTGCTAGTCCCATGCGATTAATGCACTGTACCACGAAATCGCACCTACTGATGTGGAAGGTGTTTTGCGTTGCAATTAATTTGAGTGACACCCCAAATGCACCTCCTGCCTGCACCCGTATGCTTGGTACTGCAATGCTGTGCATTCTATTGCAATGCGACTTGGGTAGCGAGTAAATGACTAAGGACAAATGTGGGTCCTGAGGTTACACAGGTTCAGAACCACTGATCTAGAACATACACCAGCCACTGGTGAAGACTTCCAAGGAGTTCATCCAATGGGACTCTGCTGGGCTCTCAAGCCAGTTACTCAATTTTTAAGGTTGTAAACACAAGATGTGATAGGAAGTCCTTTCTATGTTCACTTGGCGCTCTACCGACATTTAGAAATCACTCCATCTCAAAAAATATTCCTACCCAAGTAAAGGTTTTCAAGGATGGTATGCCAGTCCTCATGTCCAGAGAGTGCAGATCAGAGAAGGGACGAGTCCGGGGAGCTCTCTTTCTTCCTCCAGGTATGACAATAGCAAAATCCATTATTGGTTTCTAGGAATGGTGCCAAAATTCTGGTTATTGATTTCTTGTTGCTCTAACAACCTCCCGGGAAACAGTCATACCTAGAGTTTATCTTATCACAATATCAGAGTCAATTGATTAGCTGCATTCTCTTGCAAACTGTTTGATTTTCTAGCTATGGTTTTATTCCTATGAGATAACGCCAGCATTGTGGGTGTCTGCTCATAGTCCTAGATGGGCATGCTTGGACAATTTGTTCACATCCTTTAAGCAATGATTCAGGAGAAAATATACTTCAGTGGTGGTTAGATTGGTCTGAGAATACATTGTGAAGGTCTGAGCTGAAAGTGGAAGCAGCTCAGACGTCTTATCTGGGAAAGTCGGTCGTTTCCTATAAGAGGTTGCTAATCTAACCAATTAAAATTAGTATTTAGCTTCTCTTCAATCTCTACTAAGCTCCCCAATGGCAATGGGTTTTTAGAAACAATAAGCAAAGGATACCAGGGGAGTGTATTTAGAAAAGTTTGCAGAGCATACATTCTGTGTGAATAGGGCACATTTGAATGTTTTCTTGTGCCTCTTGTGTTCTTGTCTTTCTTGAAATGTCAAAATATACCACATTATGGCCATGAAATGGAGCCGAGGAGCAACGGAAATAAGTATTTTTTTGTAGGAAATAAGTATCTGTACAGTGACCTTAACCTAACCTTGACTATGCTTCTGTTCAGTCCCTTTTTGCTGTCTCTGACTGGTTGATCTGACTTTCTGCCTCTCTCCTGGTTCTCACCTGTCACCGTTGCACAGACCTCACCTTGTATTGCCATCCTCTGCTTATCTCTAGGAATGGCCTGGCTCAGATGCAGTCATCCAGAGCATAAGAACCTGGGGGCAATAAAGTTCAGTGCAAGCACATACAGTAGTTTCCCCAACAGAGCAAACCAGATTGCCACGCCCCTCTGAGGAAGCCCGTGTTACAGGGCGAAAACGTGTTCAGGGAAGTACAGGTGGACTTCTCTGTCGGTCCTGCTGGATGATGTGGTTGTTGTAATTCATATCGGAACGCACCTATCCCAGTATATACCGGGCCAGCATTGGGAAGGGATGTCATGGTTTGATGTTCTGTAGAAAACATTTTCCCCATGTTTACTTTGCTCACATGACTTTGACAGAGCAACAGGTTGGCTCTGCTCTGGATGGGCAGAGTACACTGCAGCCCTTGCATAAATCTATGTGTGGGTTTAGAGCCAAAATAACATAATAGGTGATAGAAAATCTCTCCAAAGGGTGTGTTTGGTCCGGAAGCAGAATTAGAATCCCATTTTTAAAAACCCACAAGCATCAGGTAGCATTTTTGTTACATTATGTTTCTTTCTTTACCTCTCATGGTGCAAATGATCATACCATCACTCACACTAGGTGGCCAAAATTTGTGGACACCTAAGGGCAGTGGCGTAACAATCGCTAAAGCGACTCAGGCGGCCGCTATGGGGCACGGGGCACAGGGGGGCCCGGCCAGGACATCCCCCTGATGCCATGCGGGCCGCCTGGGTCGCTATGGCATCTCAGGCTGCTGGCTGTCACTGGCGGGTTTGAGGAGGAGCGTGTCGCTGTTAGATCACCGACAACATGTCAGTGATCTGTGCAGCGGCATGTTCCTCCTCACAGCCACTGCTGAGTCAGTGACAGACAGCAGCTCTGGAGGAGGAAGGCTGGGCCCAGCGTCAGAAGCGGAGGAGGAAGCGTTCCTGATGATGGAAGAGGAGGCGGGGCACAGCGACGGAGGAGGCGGGGCCCGGAAACTGAGGAGACGGGGCCTGCCAGTGACCATGGAGGCGGACAGCGGATCGGGGCTGACAGGTAAGAGGTGTGCAGCCCACCATAGAGAGTCTGTGGCGGGCTCTGCAGGGTCACTCTCAGGTGGGCTGTTTGGGATATCAGGCGGGCTCTGTGTAAGAAACTTACCTTAGTTCCAGCATGACAAAGGCAGCTTCATAAAGATGTGGTTTTAGGTGTTTGTTGTGAAGGAACTCAAGTGGCCTACACAGAGCTCCAACCTCAACTCTACTGAACACCTTTGGGATAAATTGAAATTATTGGTAGCCAGGTCTGCTCATCCAACATCAATACCTCAGCTCCCAAATGCTCTTTAGGCTGAATGGGGACATATTCCCACAGACACAATCCAAAATCTTGCTCAAAGCCTTCTCAAAAGGGTGTAATCTTGGCAAATGGGTTGAGGCTACGCCATAGTAATGCCCATGGATTTAAAATTGGATGTTCTACAAGCTTATATAGCACCACCATGACCCCCAAAGGCATGTGGCGAGCCCACGATGCAGGGAGGGCTGGCATTTCACTCTCAGGGATAGATCCTTAGCTGGGTTGTCGGATAGGTGTAGTGAAATAAGGCACCAGTCACTTTTAGAATTTTTATAATGCTTTAATGGAACCAGTAGAGAAACAGGGAGAGAGGACATCTGGCTACAGACTCTGTGGAACACAGAATCCCAGACTCACCAATCCCTTCCAGCTTACATAGTGCAGGAATACTTTAGTTGAGCAGAGAATGCCACTGTGTAGTAGAACCACCACTGGATAGAGGATGTGTTTGAGATCTCCTCTTGGAGAGATACCAGACTTGTTCATGAGGTTCATGCCATCCTGGCCTTCCTGACACCTCCATCAGGTAAAGGGCTCTTCGAGTTCTTCCTTCCAGACTGTTCCAGACCCCACCTGTGTCCACATATGGCCCCCTACAGGCTTAAGGCCTAGTCAGCTTCTCCAACCTGGTACATCCCACCCCCAGGGCAGACCCGGGGGCAGACTGCCCTGAGCACATGGCAATTCCTGGGTATTTAAGCACTTCTCCAGCATGCACCTCTGGCCATGAAACACCTAGTGATTGGCTGCTGAGGCATAAACACTCACAATGTGCCCCCATTGGGGGCACATTACTACAGGTAAGTGTAGACAATAGCAGAGCACATACAAATGACCAAATAATCAGAAACTACAAATCAGCCAGACTGATTACAGTTCCAGCTACTCAAAATTTAAAGAGCCACTCCACTTAGGGTGAAGGGGCAACACTTATATAGGTGTGGTGGTCAGGAGTCCACCAAACTTTGACCATACTGTCACGTACCTTAGGGGAGTCTGAGTTGACGAGGGCGGCCTCTCTCACAGCTCCGGTCCCATGGGAGCACCTGGATTGGTTACAGGGGCGCCGGGGCACAGAGGTGCAAGGGTGCCAGAGGCTGGTTAGCCTGTTGTGTCTGCGAGAAGAGATGAAGTGTGTAGATACGGGCAGGAAGAAGGATGTGGATGCACCGAAGTGGATCAAGAAGGCTCTAGATCAGATGAGCTGAGGAAGCTGGAAGCAGAACACACAAGACAGAAGGATCGTCAAGCAGTCCAAGGTCATCAACGAGCTAGCAACGTAGTACAAGGAGTGAGGCAGAATCAAGGTCAAAAACAAGCCGGGGTCTTCAGGGAGCAAGCAACAACAGAGGGTACTCCAAGCCGGGTCAGTAACGGGTAATCAGGATACAGAATTTACAGGAACACAGAAAGCTGACAATCTGACAGCATAGGAGGAAAGCTGAACACAGCCTTTATAGCCCAGTTGGCGCCAATTGTTCAAATGACACGTCGGCGCGTGCCTGTGCGTACGCGCGCACGTCCACGCAAAGACGCCGCTCCTATTACGGCTCTATGGTCTGCAACAGGCGTCTGCGCAGACGGCGACACTCGAACTCTGGCTCTGGCTTTCTGACACATACAGGTGAAACTCGAATAATTAGAATATCGTGCAAAGTTCATTTATTTCACTAATGCAACTTAAAAGGTGAAACTAATATATGAGATAGACTCATTACATGCAAAGCAAGATAATTCAAGCCGTGATTTGTCATCATTGTGATGATTATGGCTTACAGCTCATGAAAACCCCAAGAACCCCAAATCCACAACCTCAAAAAAGTCGATTATTACATGCAATCAATAAAACAAGGATTGTACATAGAACAATATCGGACCTCTGAAAAGTACAAGCATGCATATGTACTCAGTACTTGGTTTGGGCCCCTTTTGCAGCACTTACTGCAATTACTTTTGCACGATATTCTAATTATTCGAGTTTCACCTGTATAGTTAAAAAAATAAAACCCCCAGTGGTGATTAAATGCCTCCAAAAGAAAGACGGAATAAATGTCAGTCAAAGTACCGCAGTGCTGAACACTGAAAAATGGTCTGGACAGGAAGGGGGTTTAACATCCCGGTCATCAAGTGGCTAATACCACTTTAATTCCAGGCACATTCTAAAGCTGGCCATACACCTATAGATTATCTGCAGATGTTCTAGGGTCAGATGGAAAAAGTGCAACAGATTCCTCCATCTACGCTAAACTGTGTGGATGGAGTAATCTCCCTCTGTGCCAAGCTTCAGTATCTTACTAGTCAACCCTGCAATTACTTTTGCACGATATTCTAATTATTCGAGTTTCACCTGTACACTTATCTGTGTGGAAAATTTCTGTTTATATCTGCCATGACAGCCTCCATTCTTGGTGGATATGGGAACATGTTCACTGGTGACTGTATCCTCAGTATAATAACTTGTTCACATGCTTTGCCCTGCGTGCTGTGTGCCATCTGAACATCATGTGCTGAATAATAAACTAATTGGCACTATATCCACATTCCTTGGGAATGTTTTTTTGTCATGCTGATCTGAACTTTGTTCTTGTATTTGCATGGTGCCTGCCCATTATTGTAGAAGTTCCCCGACCACTGTCCGGTGCTGTGATTAAATAATCCAAGTTTATAGAATTTGACATACAAGGCACTTGTATCACTGGATCGCAGTTGCAATGTTCTGGCTCCTGAAGACTCTTCCTCCCAGTCCCTGCACGTACCGAGGTATGGACTTTCAGTTACGGCATGAGAGGAAGTCTGAAAGGACTACAAGTGTGGTGGCGCCACCTCACTTGTACTCCAAATGGGAAGTTGTAGTCTCTCTGCTAAACCTGTAGACTTTCTCCAGAGATCACGGAAACCTACAGTGAGAAGAACCCCTCAATTCCAGTCAATGGGGAGATTGGTTAATGGTGGGTTTTGGAAATGTGACCATGTTTAATTTTACACAAATCTTTCATGATTTGAGTGACACATTTCTGCACTTTGTTTCTTTAAATTTACTCTAGCATGTTTTCTTTAGTTTGGCGGTAACTGCAGTGCAAAAAAAAAAGAATGGATGAAATGATCGCTGGAGATTATCCAAAGAAAGTCTCCCCCTCCCACATGTACAAACAGGATCTGACCTCTCAGCATAAGTCCTCATTATGTCCGAGCTTCTGCCTCCAGTTCAGGACAATGTACAGGTGAGTCTGTGCTAAACCAAGTGACGGATAATCAGCGCTATATACAGGTGAAACTCGAATAATTAGAATATCGTGCAAAGTTCATTTATTTCACTAATACAACTTAAAAGGTGAAACTAATATATGAGATAGACTCATTACATGCAAAGCTAGATAGTTCCAGCTGTGATTTGTCATAATTGTGATGATTATGGCTTACAGCTCATGAAAACCCCAAGAACCCCAAATCCACAACCTCAAAAAAGTAGATTATTACATGCAATCAATAAAACAAGGATTGTACATAGAACAATATCGGACCTCTGAAAAGTACAAGCATGCATATGTACTCAGTACTTGGTTTGGGCCCCTTTTGCAGCACTTACTGCAATTACTTTTGCACGATATTCTAATTATTCGAGTTTCACCTGTAGATGACCCTGTGCCAGGGGTGCCAATGTATTCCGATAACCTGCATGGGTGATAGAGCTGAACTCTTTGTATGGAGCAGAACATGATCTTTGTTAGATAGAAGAGCTGCTGAGCTCAGATAAAGTAGATCTGTCAAGAGTGAGATATGGGGGCTACAACTATCTATCTATCTATCTATCTATCTATCTATCTATCTATCTATCTATCTATCTATCTATCTATCTATCTATCTATCTATCTATTTATTAGTACCCTGAGTCAAGGGTATGTGTTGAGGCCAGGGGGGCAGCTCCATGACAGTCTGGGATCTGAAGAAGTGGATTAAAGGAGAACTATGAGGTGAGTGATTTACACTCATCCTCATAGTTCGAGCCGGTGTGTGACAATGAAAATCACACGTCGGCTCAGTAGATCGGGAAGTGAGCGAACACATACCGTCGCTCGCTCACCTCTCGATCATCTCCCTGCAGAGAGCAGTGACTGTGACTCACGGCTCCCCGCAGGGATTCCCCTCTCCTCGCTCCGATCCTCCAGCACTGACTGGCGAAACGGACGGGGGAAGTGGCGGGCACAGCTGGCTCTGCCTCTAGATAGGCAGAGCCAGCTGTCAGTCACGCAGCTGGGCGGATCTCAACAGTAATGTTGGGATCCGTCTCGGCTGCGGCGGTCTCAGTATACCACAAGCTATAGCTCATGATATACTGAGCTTTGGGTCACGGGAGGACGCTAGTTTGTGTCCTCCCGTGACCCTTAGGAGAACTATGGGGAAAAACACTTACCCCTTAGTTCTCTTCTAAATGTCTCTGGATGTTAATTACCATGCAGGGCTGAGGACATCTATCTGCAGAAAAGAATTACTGTAGGGGGCAGTTTCATTTTACAGGTATTGTAGCAAAAGCTGTTTTTTTTTTTACTAGGGCCAATTCAACCACCATCATGTCTTTGGAGTGGAAGACATGTGTTCTGTGTCTTCCACTCCAAATCCCTACCAGTGTTCTGGTAGGGATTTGAACCAACAACCTTACTGCTGTAAGGCAGGAATGCTAACCACCAAGCCGCAGAGTTTCCCTTGCTATGATATTGTTTGTGTTCATCTCTGTTGAATAATTAAGAGAAATTAGAGAAATTTAGAGCAGGGGTAGGCAACCTCAGCCATTCAGTTGTTGCAAGGCTCTGACAGCTACAGGTATGACTTTCAGATGTAGAGGCACGATAGAATTTGTAGTTTTGCCATGCCTGAAGTGCTGAAGTTGCCTACCCTGATCTAGAGTAATTTCTTGTACCTAATAATTGAGCATTTTTGTTTTTGATCTGTGTCCATTCTCTTCTTTAGTTGTTCCGCTATGGTGCATCTCAAAGTCACACCAGAGTCTGCCTTGGCAGATGAACCAGTGAAGATCAAAGCTTGGGGCCTTCCTTCCCGGCAAATTGTTACCATTAGAGCATGGCTGAAAGACGACAGAGGAGAGATGTTTTACTCCAGAGCTTTCTACGAAAGTAACGATGAAGGAGAGGTGGATCTTCAGCAATCCCCAGCCACTGGTGGAGACTTTCATGGGGTTCATCCAATGGGACTCTTCTGGGCTCTAAAGCCGGTGACTCCACACTTCAGGTTACTTAAGCGGGACGTGATGGGGAGTCCCTTTGAGGTTCACCTGGAACTCTATTGTCACCTGGAACTTAATGCTATGCCAGAATGCTCTCCTGAAGCAACTGCATCTCTGAGAAGATGGTACGTCGATCCTGGGGTCCAAAGATTGCAAGTCCAAGAAGGGCGTCTTCGGGGATCTCTCTTCATTCCTCCAGGTAGGAAACTGCTGCCATGTTTTCTCTCAAAACAAATCTGCCATTAAATTGCCATGCCACATGCCATTTATGAGTGATCAAAAGGAAGTCTCATCATTGTGCTGCTGCTCCTTCATTGTTTTATCACAGATCTGGGATGGAGAGTTGACCTAGCGGTTTTGCAAAACTACAGTAGCTAAAACTCAGATAACCAGCCTAGCTGTAATTTCTGGTAGAGGTGTGTAAATCAAGGGACTGGATGAACAGAAATACAAATGCTTTGGCAGATAAAACAGCTCCATGCAAGTAGAATTCAGTGCAAACAGCTCAGTGCATGTGCCAGATGATGACCAAGAGCTGCCAGAGAGTATAATGACGCTGACGTGCAGACAGGAACGGCGTCTATACTCTATGGGAGTTCCCACTCATCTGTTGGAAATGCAACAGCATATTCTAATGTACTGATATGTCGTTTGAGCTGTAGATGGTGCTGTAGTGCAATGTTACTCTCTATATGCATGCTTATCTATGATACACAGGAAGTTTTCCTATATATATGTTTTCCTGCACAATGCTGTATTCTGAAGTAATGTTCTTCTAACCAAGTAAAACTTTATTCAGCATTCCTCAAGATCTCAGTGCTTCATCTAAACACATAACCAATAGGATATGGTCCCAAGCACTAAACAGAACACAGCAAGTCAACAAGAGCCGCATCCAAGCTACTGAAAGCTAATGGACCTGCGGAGGAATGGGACAAGAAGAACAGGCAAGTGGTCATCTTCCACTAGCAACTATAAGTCTGCTAGTGGAAGACGACTAGCTCATCCACATCAGAAAGAAAATACAGCTAAAGGTATGTGGACTACATTACAAAAACTGCATGAGCGTTCAAACCTAAAGAGTAAACTATATCTACTACACAAACTATATAACATGAGGCTAGAAAAAGGCCAGGAAATGCGTAAACATGTGATTGCCAAACTGGAAATCATAGAACAGCTACATGCAACTGGAGAGGAAATGAAAGATAACCATGTGGTGGCATTACTGCTATGCAGCCTTCCGGAGTCATACAGTGCTCTTATTAACACTCTAGAAACCAGACATGAGCAGGAACTAACACTAGAATATGCCAAAGGAAAAGTAATCAATGAATATGACAGAAGGAAAGAAAATATGCACAATGAAGAAAATGAGAAAACCCTTAAGGTGCACGAGAACATAAAGCAAAACAAAGAAAGCAGAGAGTGTTGTCACTGTAAAAAGACTGGTCACCTGAAAAAGGACTGTTCAATCTGGAAAGCCGAGCAGAGAAACCGAGAAAGCGAGAGGCACCTACAAGAGAAAGAGCTATGGCAGCCACAAAGGAAACTACATGCACCTCTTGGAGCGCTACCTTTAAAGTGACTAAGAACGGACAAAGTCTTCCTTGCAAACGGGAAAAAAACTACTGCAGAAGGTAACGGCCAAGGCAAGAACATTGGCAAATTAAAGGCCCCCTGAATGATAAACCAGTTTCCATCCTATAGGGTTCCCACTTACTGTTTCTCTTTTCCCAACCACTAGCTGACTTATGCATACAACAATCAGGTTGCTGGTACAATGGATTAGTATGTTTCTGACACTCAGAGCTGAGGAAGCTACATGGATGAGTAGAGAAACATCTTCCACATTGCAGAATAGGTTCAGTTGAATATGAATACCTTTTTCTGGGTGAACCACAAGATTGCATGCATTGCTTTACATTGCTTTCTTTTAGGTAGAACAGTTCTTAAGCTCTTTGCCTGGAGTTGCCCTTTATCATAACTCCATAAATGTATACTGCATACACCATGAGTGATAAATATGATTGGAAGCCTATAGAATTGAACTTTCTGCTCTCCATCTAGGTGAAGGTCCATTCCGAGGAGTCATTGATCTGTACGGGGGTTTTGGTGGTCTCATAGAGTTTCGAAGCAGCCTCCTGGCTAGTCGCGGCTTTGCCACTCTCGCTTTGGCTTATTTTGCTTATGAAGATTTGCCAAAATCCTTCGACTTCCTGGATCTAAAATATTTTGAAGAAGCTGCTCAATTTCTCAGCAATCATCCGAAAGTAAGTCAAAACATCACAGGTAGATGAAAATTTTACTCTAAATAACGTTCATATTGAGCCTCATGAATGAAAATTAAAGGAAGGAAATGTGAAACAGTTTTATAACAGGAGCTCTTACCTTTAATCCAGCCATCCAGATGCATGCAGGGATTCCCTTCTCCCTCTAGCCACACATGTACCCTCAGTAAGAAGCGAGAGCACATTTCATGCTCATGTATCTTTCATGATCTCTCCTCTCCAATGCTTGATCACCACTCCAAACATTGGCTGACTGGATCTGACCAGTCATCTAATCAATGGCAGAGCCATAGGGATCTCCTGTAGGTCCAGGGACCAAGTATCAAACTGTTTATTTGGAGTTTCCGGCTGAAATCCGGAGAGTTTCTAGCTATTGGCTGTCCTATTTTTAGGGTCGTCACTTACTGTATCTCTTTTCCCAACCATTAGCAGACTCTTGCATACAATAATCAGGTTGCTGGTACAATGGATCAGTCAGATCACATTTGAGTACAATATGGTCACTTCATGTCAAGTCACATGACATCGGCAGGGGATACATGTCACTACTAGGGATGAGCTCAGGTTCTGATCAAACCCAGTCTGAATCTGAGCTCCTCTGAATAAGAAAGTGGCATTGGCACATCCACCCAGCTGCGGGTTGGGCATTCCCTGTGACATACGCCCGGCCCGAACCCGCTGTACGTCTATCAAACGTGACTATACGCAGTTCTGAACTGAACGTGGCGTCACAAAGACATGGCGATACCACTCTCAGTCTCACCCTGCATAGAGATTTCTCAGCTGGCGGGACAACGATCTCAGGGCAGCAGACTGAGAGCAATCGTCACTAGGGTTGGTTAACTCCGCAGTTATGTTAGCTGCCACCACGTGCTTTAACGGAAGCATACACCAATCCCAGCAAGTGCTGTGATAATTCGAAACACTTAAACAATACATGAGGACAGAGTATGTTTACTATAACCACAATCATGAATTAACAGGAAGTGATGTAGAAGATTTCCCATTCATTCATAATTGAGGATATAGTAACCGTACTCTGCCCTCAATTATTTACAAACACTCAGCGATCACTGATCCCTGACTGCTTGTACCACTCTCCATTCTGACAGCTGTCGCAGGAGGCTGAGCGAGCGGTGCGGGAGGAGAGCTCAGCCTTCTGTGACAGCGCTGGCTGTCTCCGCTCCACACCGCCGCACAGCGCTCTCCTCCCGCAGAGCTCGGCCACCTGTGACAGTTTCTCTCCTCCCCGCTGATATACAGAGCAGCACCCAGCGGGGAGGAGAGAAAGAGAAAGGGACTTGATTCCCCCCTCCCCTGTCCGATCCTCCAGCACTGAATGGCGGAACGGACGGGGGAGGGGGTGGGTACTCACACAGCTGGGTGGATCCAGACATAATTGTCGGGATCCGTTCTGGCTGCGGCGTCTCAGTATACCGCGAGTTCTCCTTAGGGTAACGGGAGGACACAAACTAGCGTCCTCCCGTTACCCTAAGCTCAGTATACCGCGAGCTACAGCTCGCGGTATACTGAGACGCCGCAGCCGGAGCGGATCCCGACGTAGATGAAGGGATCCGCCCAGCTGCGTGAGTGACAGCTGGCTCTGCCTATGTAGAGGCAGAGCCGCTGTACCCGCCCCCTCCCCGTCCGTTCCGCCAGTCAGCGCTGGCAGATCGGAGCAGGGAGGGGGGAATCCAGCCCCTCCCCCTGTCACGGCAGAGAGCCGTGACAGGATCGAGAGGTGAGTGAACGCCGGTATGTGTTTGCTCACCTCCCGATCTACTGAGCCGACCTGTGACAGTCTCATTGTCACAGGTCGGCTAGAACTATGAGGTGAGTGGAAATCACTCATCTCATAGTTCTCCTTTAAGGAAAATAAATATGTAAATCCTCACTTCTCATAAATATGAATGTTAACTATGGCTATGAATTGTGACATATTTACATAACTGTGTAACAGCACATCCTTCATTATCCAGTCAGCAAGTTGTGTGCATGGAGGTGACACCGATGTATTCTTTAAATATATACCTGGCCATGGCCATACACTGGCCATTTTTTCTCTGGCTAATGTGGGGCAATGTGAATGGTGGGATGCCCTTGCCGGGCTAGGGGATTATGGTCGGTGGTGCTAATTGACTTTATTCGCTGTTTCGGGCCAGCTCCTTCAACAATAGTTGATTGGGTTGAGTGTTCGGGGTATCTGTGGGGCCACACACTGGTCAAACCCCAACCGATGTATGGCCAGCTTAACACAGAATGTGGTGTCACCACTTTGGCTGTGCTGGACAGAAATACAGGTTCTTTTGTCATATTAGACACATACCTGTATCATACGTGTAGCTTATTGTCTGCCGTTTTTGTTTTTTTAAGATATTACACTGAATTAACATTCTGTTACTAAATGTCGTTCAGGTATATGGAAGTGGAGTTGGCGTAATAGGCGTGAGCAAAGGAGCGGAGATGGCTCTAGCCATGGCGTCCTACTTGCCTCAGATTGCCGCAGCGGTCTGCATCAATGGTCCCGTGACGATCACCGGCAGCACCGTCAGTTATGGCGATCTCATCCTGCCTGAAATTCCATACCAAAGAGAGAGGATGATGTTCACACAATCTGGAGGTTCTATAATGTTTCGCTTATATGTGGACCTAACAGATCCAGAACACCAGGCCTGCATGCTTCCAGTGGAAAAGGCCAAAGGTCCCATCCTCTTCCTCGTGGGGGAAAATGACCAGAGCTGTGACAGCTTAAGCTATGCTAGGGCATCATCGGCCAGAGCAAAGGAGTATGGCAAGATGGACGTATACATAGAGAGTTATCCCGGAGCCGGGCACCTCCTAGAGCCGCCATGTTCTCCTTTCTGCCCCTTATCGAGATCGCCTTCATCACCAATTCCGATGATATGGGGAGGGGAGCTTGTGGCGCACTGCCGAGCGCAGGAAATCAGCTGGCCCAACATACTGGACTTTCTGCGTAAAAATATTCCGTGCTCTAAGAAGAATAAACTGTAAGAAATAACTGGGCACGGAAAAAGAAAAGAATAAATACAAATTATTAATTCATTAATTAAATAAAAATAATGACCGTCATCTCTGACGCAAAACAGCATTAAAATGAGTTGTATGGAGACTTTTCATTTGCCTGAAATATCAGTAAAAAAAATCTGGAGATTTTGGTGACATGCATTGGAGTGAAATGAAAGTTTTGGTTATTTATATGGTCTGGGAGCAGAGAGCTTTAAATTACTCCTCAGAAGATGCAGACGTTCCCTTTAATTAAGGATGCACCGATACCATTTTTTCCAGACCGAGTACCGATACTTTTCCTCAAATACTCGCCAATACCAATTACTGATTCCTTCTTTTTAGTATCATGTGACAGTCTTTCTAAAACAATACAGACTAATGATTTTAGGACAGTGGTGGAGCACCAGGGCCCAGTCCCAGCTGAAAACCCTGGAAGGTCTGCCACTGACTCCAAGCCGTAGAGGGACTACAATTCCCAGCAATATATTATACAGCAACGCAGAATATCACCAGCTATAGAGGACTAGAAATCCCAGCAATACATTGTACAGCAATGCAGAATACCACCAGCTATAGAGGACTACAAATCTCAGCAATACATTATACAGCAATGCAGAATAATACCACCAGCTAGAGAGGACTACAAATCCCAGCAATACATTATGCAGCAATGCAGAATATAATGAAACTGCGTCCCCTGTGTTGCGGCCTGGTGCTGGCTCTCCAGGGTCTCAGGGCAGCACAGTGGCATAGTAGTTAGCACCTCTGCCTTGCAGCAGTGATTCGAATCCTGGGCAGGTCTCTATTTGCATAGAGTCTGTATGTTCTCCCTGTACTTGCCTGCGTTTCCTCCAAGTACTCCGGTTTCCTCCCACACTCCAAAGACATGCTGGAAGGTTAATTAGCTCCTCTCTAAGCTGGCCCATGTAGGGAAGTATGGGGAATAAGGGACCATGGATTGTAAGCTCCTTGAGGGCAGGGACTGATGTGAATGTGCCACTATGTAAATTGTCGGCGCTTTATAAATACCTGTAATAAAAAATAATTTAAAAATAAGGTGGCCTGTGTGGGGCCTCAGATGGGCTGTGCTGGGTCTCCGGAAGGCCGGGCAGGATCTCAGGTGGGCTGTGTGAAGTCTCACCAGGGATCCGTAGGGTCTCGCGGGATGTGGAAGCGCTGTAAGCAGCAGGAGAGGAATGTGTGGCTGGCGCTGTAAACAAGCGCTTTGGTTCACAAAAAGACTGCCGAGGTTCCCAGGATGCACGGGACCACAGGCAGCCACTTCAGTATCGGCGCTTAGTACTGGGGCATTTTCATGAGTACGAATACTAATGAAAATGTCCAGAATCTGCACCAATACCGGTATTGCTGCATCCCTACTTTTAACCATTTTGACCTGTGTTTGTGCCATAAATGCCCCTTCAATATTTTCATTAGTATTTTTTTTTTTTAATACAGAAAGGAAGTAAAAGGAAGAAAAAGTAAAAAATAAAAAATGTAAGGCAACAGTAATAATGATCAAATACATACAACGTACAATAAACACAGAAACAAAGATCACTAAGGGGTCAATTCCTAAAAAAAAAATCTGCATAGTTTATTTGTCCAGTAAAACTGCCACGTACATTCTTTCTGTGAAAGTTCAGCAGCTTTTGTGAGAATGGGACAAGAATGAATGTTCTAAGTGTAATTTCTCCTCTGGTCGAATGAACTGGTAAAATACCACATTAGGCCCACTAGATGGGGCTGCAGAGCATAGGAAATAGATACTTAATATGGCCACTAGATGGAGCTGAGGAGCATAGGAAATAGATACTTAATATGGCCACTAGATGGAGCTGAGGAGCATAGGAAATAGATACTAAATATGGCCACTAGATGGAGCTGAGGAGCATAGGAAATAGATACTAAATATGGCCACTAGATGGAGCTGAGGAGCAGAGGAAATAGATACTAAATATGGCCACTAGATGGAGCTGAGGAGCATAGGAAATAGATACTAAATATGGCCACTAGATGGAGCTGAGGAGCATAGGAAATAAATACTTATAGGGCCACTAGATGGAGCTGAGGAGCATAGGAAATAGATACTAAATATGGCCACTAGATGGAGCTGAGGAGCACAGGAAATAAATACTTATAGGGCCACTAGATGGCGCTAAAGAGCATATAAAAAAATACATGCTAAAGTAGTACGGTAATAAGAAACACCACTTCCGCATTCTTACAGCAGAGAGGGGACCGGATGGAGATCGCGTATCGACCTCCCTCTGATCCCCTGTCAGAGAGCCACTATGCTGGTCCTGGGCTCGCACCGGGCACAGAGGAGCCTGGGATCAGCGTGACAACGGGACCGCGGCGGGAGGTGGCCGGCAGCTATTACAAGTGACCCGCCGGCTCTATAGCCGGCGGATCGCTTGTATGTTAACAGGCATCGCTGCTTGTTTTTAAGTTTTGTGTCTTTCCCGCTCGTGCGCGCCGCGCACGAGTGGGCGGGGCTAGTGGGCCGTATATACATGGCCTGTTATATCCAGGAAGCTCCCGGCCGGCTGTTTTTTTCACAACGGCCGGCCGCGTAGCGGTTAAAGTAAACATACCGCTCCTACTGCCTGCACTGCCCAATGCGGCTCCGTTCCTTATTAAGCACCAGAGATTGTTGTTACAGGGAATCCAATTGCCTTGTGGGATCAGGAAGGAATTTGGCGTTCGGTTTTAGGTTTTTCTCTTCTCTCTATAGGTTGAACTCGATGGACCTTTGTCTTTTTTCCAACTATGTAACTATGTTATTGGCTCAGTACTTTTATATGGACTAAAGTATCATTTTGTTTAATTTTTTTTGATAAATTCTTTATTTAGGATTTTGCATAGTTCACAAATAGATAACAGATATTTGTAAAAGAAAAATTTGTTCGATTTCCACAGGGGTATGACAAGATTAGCAGTACAGTGTCAAACAAGTCCGCACATACCCTGTTTCCCCAAAAATAAGAATTCCTACCTTAATAATAAGACCTGGTACTATTTTTGGGAATTGCTAAAATATAAGACCTACCCCGAAAGATAAGACCTAGTTGTGACCTTTCCCAGGACTGGTGGTGGCATAAAGGGGAACTTGAGGAGCCGCGGAAGAGAATCGGTGATGCCAACAAAGCCAGCGCTAGAGGAAGCGAGGCGGCAGCGGAGGGAGCAGAGCCGCATTAGCCAATGCTTCCTCTATAGCGCCGACTCCTGTCACAGGCGGAGTGATTCCAAATGCACTCCACCTGTGAGGAAACGATAGTGAAAGTGCGCTTCACTAATTCTGGTTAACAAATTGCTCTTGGAAAGGTACGGCACCCCTGATTGCCCTGATCACCATATTCTTGACTTTGCCATTTTGGATTATTTAATTTGGATTTGCATTAATTTTGGATTGTTGTACATTAAAATAAAAAATTAGACCTACCCCAAAAATAAGACCTAGTGTGTTTTGTTGAGCCAAAAAAAATGTAAAACAGTGTCTTATTTTCGGGGAAACACGATAGTAATGTACATACAGAAGGCGGCAGATCAATAGTACAGTTACATTGGTAGTGTGCATTGCTCTGCCTCGCATTATGGGACAACAAAGTCGATTAAATTAGGGCATCGTAGGGTTTCCCTGAGGAAGGTCGCGATAGTACATTCAGTAAGGGTTAGCAGGGGTGGGGTAGGGGATAATCTGTAAGAAAGGTAACATCCCAAAAGCTTATGAGGTATCCTTGGCTTTTATTGAGACGGATGTATCCTAGGGAAAAAGGGGTCGGGGGGAGGAGAGAATGATGGGGGTAGTGAAAGAGAAAGAAAAGGGGGAGAAGTAGCAAAGTCGGAGGAAGGGTCAGGGGTAGCATGGCAAGAAGGTTGGGAGGGGTGTGGGAAAGAATGGAGTGGAGGATCCATGGTAGGGAAGGGTAAACAGATCAGCTTCTTTTACCCCACGCTTGGCGGTACATTCCCCTCAGGATCTCGTCTCAGTATGAGGTATTCAGGAGACATGATGAATTCCATCCAGGGGAACCAGGTGTGGGCGAAGGGTATGATGGTATTTTTGATTGAGCTCGTGAGGTCTTCCATTAGGTAGATGTCTTGTATGCGGTCCATGACCTGTCCAATATGGGGTGGTGTAGGTTTCTTCCACAGTGGAGGGATACATGCCCGTGCCGCATTGATGACGTGTTTGAGGAGCGAGCGGGTGTAGGAGCGGGTCGGAATGGAGTTGTGATGTAGAAGGAAGAAGGCTGGGTCCTGGGGCACCTGGTGCTCCGTGAATCTCTGGGCCAGGGTCCGTACCTGGTCCCAGAACTGCCTGAGAGCCGGGCACGACAAAAAAATGTGAAGCATGTCTGCCGACGGTTGCTGGCAGCGCCAACAGAGGTCGGGAGTGTCCGGGAATAGCGAGTGTAGTGTTTGCGGAGTGCGGTACCATCTGGACCCTATCTTGTAACCCGATTCTTGGTATCTGTTACTTATGGATGAACGGTAGGATAGTGACAGTAGTTTCTCCGCATATATGGACTAAAGTAGAACTGAAGCCAATTGGTTTTTTTGTTTTTGTTTAGCATGAGGAAGGATTATAGCCCCCGTCACCTTTCTTTGCAATCTGTGTCCCATTGGGGAGATTTCCCTTCACTTCCTGTCCAATTGCCACAACAGGAAGTGAGAGAAAATCTTTGGTGGTTAGCAGGATCATTAGAACTAGTATCCCCATTGGAAGATTTCCCATCTATTCCTGTAATGAGGACAACCCAACCTTTGGGACTTTTATTCACTTTCAGCAATCGCGGTCACTGGGACAATTAGAGAGGGTGAATCTCCCACAGTCCCCGATCACACCATTGTGTTTCATAAATGCACGCAATGATGCGTGCCCACGGAACACATCTAAAACGTGCTTGTGGTGCCATTACCTGTTAATGGCCCTCCAAATGCAGCTGGGAAAATGTGTTTTTTTTCCCCGTGTACTGATGCGCATTAAATGTGCACAAACATCTGGTGAAAGAATGCGGCACGCCTGTAGCAGAATCTGCTACTTCCCTGCGTTTGCTGCGCACCCATTGAAATCAATGGGCGATACATAGCAAGCATGGCAAACACGCACACAAGTGCACCTGAACACTAAGCACCTTCCTGGAAAGTAAAGGTCTGAACAGGGACACAGACAGGAGTTTGAATGCCGCCGCACTCCATCCAAAAACTAGTTTTGTCTTCAGTTGCACTTTAAATTTGGCGGTGGGGTCACTTTAAAAAGATGACTTTAGTGACGTGATTGTCATTCTGGATACAATGTAATAATTTTTTTCTGTAGATTGTATCCAGGGGCGTCCTGAGGTGGGCTGTCACCCAGAGCAGGTACTGCGTGACACCCTGCCGAGACTTCATCGCGCATGATGATGTCACGAGCTGTTACCTGCCGGCAGCCATCTTGGTGATGGACGCCGGCAGAGAGAGGAGGGGACGTTCACCTGGCGGGATAAGATATGCCCCCGGGTCCCCTCCTCTCTCCTGCAGCTGTTGGGCTCTCGGTCCATGACTGAGTGCCCGACTTTGCACAGGAGGTGAGACCAAAATGACCGTCAGTCATTTTGGTGTCACCCTTCCCATGGATGGAGACTCTCATAGTTTAGAGTTAGGACCGCACTATAAGAGGTGCCTTGGCGCGGCTTTCACATTTTCTGCAGAAGACGTGTACCCAAACCTCTGTTATTAACCTTAGTGGTGAGACAAGTTGTTTTACATGCTGGTTTGTGAGTGTGCCATGATGCCTTTCTACTGTTTTACCCTTCCCATGGTGTCACCTGGGTGCGGGCCGCACCCACCTAGTGACGCCGCTGATTGTATCAAGCACTGATGGTGTAAAACATTGTTACAGCGATCGGGGCAGAAAACAGCAACTGACACGCCAGGTCGGCGTGTCACTGACAACAGCTTGGCAACATCAGCATTACTGGATAGTGCTGTGAAAATACCAGTCGTTACAGATGGTCGTTTGCCTCGTTCAACCAGCCCAGTGGTGGCCAACCTCAGCACTCCAGCTTTTGTAGAACTACAAGTCCCATGAGGCAATGCAGTGCTGACAGCCTCAAGCATGATGGGATTTGTATTTTCAACCCAGCTGGAGAACCAAGGTTGCCTACCCCTGACCCACCCAGTGAAGGAGTGACCTGTGCAGACGTGGGAGTATTTCTCTGCTCTGCATAGCGATCTTGTGGTTGGCCGATTGTCAAATACAGGGACCTTTGGGCTGGAAGTAGGGGAGTTTCTTCTCTCCCTGCAGCCGATGCTCCTGGACACCGCTAGAGGGAGCAGAAGGGAGGAAGCAGTGAGTCTCTCTCTCATCATGCCTTTGGCTCCCTCTAGTGGTGGTCAGGAGTAGCTGCTGCAGGGCAGCAAGTTATAAAGACTGCCTCAAGGCTAGAGATCTGAAAATCCTGTTTACCGGTCAGACAGGAACATCCTGGAGCTAACATTTTTTTTTTAACAAGATGCAGAATTAAGAATACCTGCTAAAAGGGAACATTTACTTTTATAAACTTTGCTGCAAAACTCGCCAGACTAGAGAACACTGGTTTAGGGGGAGGATCATTCACTTGCACATCCAAACTTGCAAAAACAGGAGCCAAAGTTTGAGTCAGGTTAGAATGTTCACTTTTAGGGGCGGATTCACAACTCTTCCACAAAGTCTAGTGCTGGACGGATGCCATTTCCACTTCACTACCACTAGATGGCGCTGATGAGCAGTTTCCTATGCTCCCATAATTTCCTATGTTCCTCAGCGCCATCTAGTGGCGACAGTGACACACACATGGCATCTGTACAGCCGTACACTTGGTGGAAATGCTGTAAAATGTTGACATCACAGGAACCTCTCCTCTGTATTCAGAGATCCACCCTGGTACCAGCAGGCTGGCAGTGGTTATGCAGGGCAGCTATGATCGATTTGCCAGTGTCCAATCACCTGCAGATAGCTGCATAACCCAGTGATGTAAGAATTCCACTTCCTGTGATTATATGTTCAAGAATGACATGTTTGTGCTTGTTTTATGGTATTTCAACATTCCACTGTGTGAAACTTATCAACTTCATTTTTGGGGGGAAATTCATTTTGCTGCCATGACATTGGAGACAGGCCAGACTCGTTTTTTTTCTATTATTTTCTACAATGACTTACAAGAGAATGGACAACACTGTGTATAAAAAAAAAGGAAATGTAAAATTTATTGTACAAATATGGAAAAAAAAAACCCCCAAAACAAAACAAAAAAACTCAAAACAAGCACCTCTTCCTTCCTGCAGAGAGGCCAAATATACACAGTGTATATATATATGATCCAGCTTAATGTAAGCCAACAAGTCAGCAGCTCCCAACAGGAGCATTTTACAGTTCTCTGTATACATTCCAACATGGAGCTCCTTCCTCTACGTGCGTGCCGCCATGGAGCTCCTTCTTCTACGTGCGTGCTGCTATGGAGCTCCTTCCTCTACGTGCCGCCATGGAGCTCCTTCCTCTACGTGCGTGCCGCTATGGAGCTCCTTCCTCTACGTGCCGCCATGGAGCTCCTCCTCATGCCTCAATGGAGCTCCTCTATATGCTGCTCCTCTATGTGCCACCATGGAGCTCCTCTATATGCTGCTCCTCTATGTGCCACCATGGAGCTCCTCTATATGCTGCTCCTCTATGTGCCACCATGGAGCTCCTCCTCATGCCGCCATGGAGCTCCTCTATATGCTGCTCCTCTATGTGCCGCCATGGAGCTCCTCTATATGCTGCTCCTCTATGTGCCGCTATGGAGCTCCTCTATGTTCATGCCCGAAGATCTAAATGAAAGCTGTGAAGAAAATGTAACAGGTCAAGCGTCTGCATTCATTTGCCAATACCATCACCCAACAACCGAATCATCCTAGGTGCAACAGCCAACAACCTCCTAGACATTGCCACCTACTCTGCCCTGCACAAGGGGAAGGCCAGTACAGGGGTAAATTACCTAAATTTGCATACGGCTCATCATGGCTGGCTACACCGCAGCGCTGGTACTAGGTGCATGGTGTTGTGGCGTCATTCATTCAGAATGGCACCCCAATGAACACATGCAGTAGATGCCACAACATTGCACAGGACGATGCCAGCTCACCAGTACACAACATTGCACAGGACGATGCCAGCTCACCAGTACACAACATTGCACAGGACGATGCCAGCTCACCAGTACACAACATTGCACAGGACGATGCCAGCTCACCAGTACACATTGCACAGGACGATGCCAGCTCACCAGTACACATTGCACAGGACGATGCCAGCTCACCAGTACACATTGCAGAGGACGATGCCAGCTCACCAGTACACATTGCACAGGACGAGCACTTCTATGCTGAGAAGAAAACTCTGGGCGTTGGTCATGTGTTGAGAGCCCAGTCAAAATAAATCGGCTTCCATATCACAACGCGCCTCAATTCATGGAGAGGCGTGCAACTGACCGAGGGGACCTTGAAGGTAAGACTCAAAAACAAAGTGGATCCTCTGCCTATAACCAGATGCTGGTGGGTGTGGTACCGTTATCTAGTTAAAGTGTGTCCAAAGCCAAAATCTTAGTTCTGGAGATGAAGGGATAGAGCCCCTGGAATGTTTTTAGTGAGGTCTACAGCCCCATTGGGGAGATCTAAACGTTATATTTGTTCTGGTGACCGCTGCCCTCATCCTTGAGGGAAAATCCAAGAGTTGCCACCGGAAAAGGAGGAGAAATCTTCCAATGGGGACACCTGCTCCAATGACAACCATCTCGGATGGGAATTTCGTTTACTACAGGGAGATTTCCTCTTACTTCCTGTTGGTTATACAGTACAGGAAGTGAAGGTGGGTTTTAACCATTCTCTACTCTATCCAAAATTAGAAGAAAAAAACATTTTTTGTTTAAGCTGCAGAGTCATTGTAACATTTCAGCTATGGGCCGATAAATGCAGCAATATTTTGTCATTATTTCTTAAAGTTATTGGTGTTAATTAGTTATAGTTGAGGATAAAACAGTAAAGACTCCAGTTATAAAACACACAAAAAAAACACGGCAGCCGTAATTGCATAAACGAATGGTCCTTGATTTCTTTTATTTTCAGGTTGAATGTATTATGTTGTAATACAGCATTATGGCCACTAGATGGGACTGAGGAGCACAGGCAATAAGTAATTCCTATATTCCTCGGCGCCATCTATTGTCCAGAAGGCAGTATTACATCATAATGCAATCAGCCTGAAAAAGAACATTTGTTTTTGTGTATATTTGTACAAAAAGAACATTCACAGATATTATAAAAGGATCCCCTCTGTGTCCATCTTGTACACTGAATACATTTTTTTTTTTTACCTAGAGCTACTTTTGCACAGCCCAAGTTGGGTAGATCTCATCACACACAGACAGACACACCTATCTCAGCCCTTTATAGTATAATAAGAGGACGTAGAATTCTCACCATCAGATCGCCGTCTCTTCCCCCGAGAACCATCCAGACCGCTCTGCGCTCTCTTCAATCCAGCCGTGGCCTCTTTCAGATCCTGCACGGAGGACCGCGCTCTAGAAAACACATCCTGCGTATTTTTCACCACGGCGAGATATTTTGCACATTCGAGGAATCCGCCGGACAGCGCCAGGTCTTCCGCCGTGTGTCCGTCTCTATTGCAGACGCTGAGAACAGAGCAAATGAAAAATATAAGGTTACCGGAGAGAATTCATCTTCTGGGAGTCGCAGAATCTTCATCGGACAGAAAACAACCCGCTCGGCGTGCGCGGCTACTCACTCTAATCTGGCGTCCCGAGCGACCAGAAGACTCAGACATTCCAAACTTCCTGAGCGAGCGGCTTTATGAGCCAGAGTCTCTCCCAACAGGTCCTGGGGAAGGAAGACGAGCAGATGAGGTCACATGACTACAGAGAGCGCACACACAATGCATTACATGTAAGTCTCAAATAATTATTATAAACACACAAAAAATATATAATCTAGATCTATTATAAAGAATAATAACAAGAACAGCAAACAAAATATTATTTTTGTTATTTTTTCCCCCGCTTGTTATTAACAAAATGTTATTTATAAAATATATCTAATTATTATTATTAACAGATAAAAAAAACAGCAATATTATTACGCTTGTTATTTTTGTTATTTATCAAAATGCTAATTATATTTTCAAACTGGCTACAGGAACGTGTCCAAAGAGTATCGATAAATGGCTTTTCAGACTGGTCTAGGGTCATGAGTGGCGTGCCTCAGGGGTCAGTACATGGGCCCCATACTAGTCATCCTGGTTATTAATGACATCGGGGAGGGAGTGAGTAGCCATGTCTCAGTGTTTGCGGATGACACCAAAATAGGGAGGGTAATAGACACGGACTTAGACATTATAACATTACAGGAGGACCTGGATAAAATAGGGGAGTGGGCAACTACATTACATGGCAGATGAGGTTCAATGTCGATAAATGTAAAGTAAGGCCCTTTGGGGGTTAAAATAGGCAAATGGGTTATACAATTATGGGTGTGCCACTATGGAAGTCAGAAATGGAGAAGGATTTGGGGGTCATTATAGACCGCAGATTGAAGAATAGCTTGCAGTTCCAGGCTGCTGCATACAAAGCAAGTAGAGTCCTTTCCTGTATTAAGAAGGGGATGTATTGCAGGGACAAGTCTATAATTGTGCCTCTATACAGATCACTGGTTCGGCCTCATCTGGAGTACGCGGTCCAGTTTTGGTCACCAGTCCACAGCAAGGATGTCCTTGAGCTGGAGAGAGTCCAGCGGAGGGCAACCAAACTAATTAAGGGGATGGAGGACCAGAGCTACGAGACAAGGCTACTAAATTTAAACTTGTTCACGCTGGAGGTGAGGAGATTAAAAGGAGAACTATGAGGAGAGTGCTTCTCACTCACCTCATAGTTCTAGCCGACCTGTGACAATGAGACTGTCACAGGTCGGCTCAGTAGATCGGGAGGTGAGCGAACACATATCGGCGTTCGCTCACCTCTCGATCCTGTCACAGCTCTCTGCCGTGACAGGGGAGGGACTGGATTCCCCCCTCCCCGCTCCGATCCTCCAGCGCTGACCATGACAAACATTTGGGATAACATCGGGGACACGTACCTGCTGGTTGATGTCAACTCCGGTCTGCAGCTGCCAGAGCAGAAAGAAAGCATGCCCCCCGCACGCGGCAAGGTAAGAGGGCGTCTGTCCGAGCGCGTCCCCTGGAGAGTTCACCGCACAGCCCGACTCCATCAACTGGCTCAGGACGTCAACCTGAAGAGATTGCAGAACAATGAGCAATTATAGATCCATTTTCCAAAAAGAAGAAGTTTTTACTGCGGGGCTGAGGCAATGTCGGCCCTCCAGGCGTTGTGGAACTACAAGTCCCATGAGGCATTGCAAGACTCCGACAGCCACAGGCATGACTCGCAGAGAGAGGCATCATGGGATTTGTAGTCTCAGCACAAGGTTGCCTATTCCTGCTGAATGGCAGATGCCATGTGAACAGTATATATAATATATACAGGTATAGACATGGACTTTCCATAAGACGGACCTCTGTGTCTGCGTAAAGCTGCATCCTCTCTGTTCCCCCGATCTCTCTCTCACACACACAGTCCTCTCCGCTCCGATTCTTCAACTCATCTGACAGCAGCAGAAACTTCTCTCCGATGTTCTAGTTCCCCAGGCCGCGCCCCTCCGCACGTACTCAAACAAGAAGCACATGGACCCTGGTTCCCCCGCAAGCCACGCCCATGCCCGGCCTGATTGGACGGAGACGCGAAGCACGTCTACTCTGTGGCAGGCGATTGGTTGGGGGGCGTGGCGAGGGCCGTCCCCTCCGCGGCGATTATGTTTTGGTCACGTACTCGCAGGCTGTGTCCGCCCGGATGACATGAAGTCTGCAGCGAGGCGGCACGTAGGCAGTTTGCTCGGCTTTCATGAACATGAATGGAGATGGAGATGTAGGGGGAGGGGAGGTGGCAGCTGGCCAGGATGCTGTGTGTTGCACGTATGAGGAGGAAGTGTAATGATAGAGAAGCACAGCACACACAGAATGCCGCCTTTTCATTATCGGGAGGGGTGGACTGATCGGGATTATTTGTCCTAGACCGATTCTGTCACGTCCTGATCCATGGCAGCACCGGCTGGGGGTTGGTTCATTGTTGTCATGCAATGGACTCTAGGGCTGAGTGCCTGTTAGTTTATGGCACGCACAGGGCTAGTTTATGGCACGCACAGGGCTTTACAGGTCAACCAGCCCCCGGAGGGCCCATTCATACCATGGGGGTGCAATCGCATACGTTTTAACATATTGCAACACATTAAATCAGTACACTGTGCTGCCATTGGCGTTAGCACAACTTCCTGCAACGCACGTTACATTCGTCGGTACACTGTGCTGCCATTGGCATTGATGCAACTAGCTGAAATGCATGTTACATTCGTTGGTACACTGCTGCTAGTGGCTTGCCAATGCACCTCCAATGTGATCTGCAATGTAGCACAATAAAATGATAAGATGCAGGCTGCTGTGCGTTTAAGCTCGTTCATTTTGATTGGGTGCAATGTGTATTTTGCACTGACAAATTGTGTGAATGGGCCATGAATCAGTATCTATACTCCTTCGGGGGATATGGGGACCAAATGATGGGGGTTTACTCCTGTGGGGTGGGGACCAAATGATGGGGGTAGAGGACTGGGTCATGGTCCATACTCCTTAACGGGGAAGGATGGGGGTAATGGGGACCAAATGATGGGGGTAGAGGACTAGGTCAGGGTATCCACACTCCTTGGAGGGGGGGGTGAGACAGATAATGGGGATCAAATGATGGGGGTAGGGGACTGGATCGCTAAATAATCTTACCTGGAGAGATTGAAGTCCTGCTCTTCATTAATTTATGAATGAAAGATACGATTGTAGCCATTATTCACCTCTGTGTTCTGTCTGACCTGTAAACCTATTAAAAAAAAAAAATGGAACCCCTTATTAACATTAATTAATTTTTATGACCATTGTCTCTGGTACGTAAAGAGAGGGAAAATCCAAACCGCAAGGGGAATAGAGGGGAAATCCTTCATTGGGGTCGCGGTCTAGGAGAACCAACGCCCCTAGGCGGCACTGATGAGTATAGGATGTTCGTCAGCACTATCTGAGGGCACCTTCTATAAAGACGACTCCTTATTATTAGGGACCACCAGAAGATCCTCTAGTAGGTTAAGCGGCTGGTCTAATGCTGACTGAAGGACAGACTGTATGTGGCCCTTAGGGACAACCAGGGTGACTCCATGGATAAGGGGGAAGAGCTTGGATCCTGAGCTCTATTCCCACCACAGTAAGGCCTGTTGAGAGTAGGGTGGGTCACACACCTCGTAGATGGTGGGAGTCCAGGGGTGGTAGTTTATTAAGGGAGTGGGTGCAGAGTTAGGGGGAGGAACTATGGAAGGAGAGATTAGTTTGTGTGGGCTGTGTTGGAGGTCACAGGGGCTAGCTCAGGCTGGGCACACACCTTACAACCCTCGCAAGACTACAGGCAGATCGTACTTGGGATGATCACAAGCCCGCCCCGCTGAGGGGCGAACTTCCGATGACCGCAATGCTGAACGGGCAGTGTGCGCTAGCGCACACGGCCCGTGCGGCTTTTATCTTGCGAACATGCCACAAACCAGCCAAACATCGTACGATGTGCGGCGCGTTTTCAAACATGTTCCTAAGATAAAAGTCATGCGACTTTACAGTAGCAGAGGTCGCACGGCTCCCACACACCTTACGATAATCGTACGATCAGGGGATTTGCCGCAAGTATCGTACAATTATCGTAAGGTGTGTGGGCACCTTTAGAGTCATGTGAGGGATCCTCCAAGTGGCTTCCCCTTCAGGGACAAGCCAGGAACGCTGTTCTGAGTGGAGCACAACAAGGATAGCTGGAGGCAACTGGGACAGAGATTAAGTAACCCCTTTGGTGGGTGATGGATCTGGTGTAGGCCGGCCATGGGACTTGAAACCGGCTTCCAGTTGGGAAACTGGTGGTGACGGAGGTGGGTCAGACTGCATGGTGGTGGAGGTGGGTCAGCCTGCATGGTGGTGGTGGCAGAGGTGGGTCAGACTGCATGGTGGTGGTGGCAGAGGTGGGTAAGCCTGTATGGTGGCGGAGGTTGGTCAGTCTGCATGGTGGTGGTGGCAGGGGTGGGTCAGCCTGCATGGTGGTGGCGGAGGTGGGTCAGCCTGTATGGTGGCGGAGGTTGGTCAGTCTGCATGGTGGTGGTGGCATAGGTGGGTCAGCCTGCATGTTGGTGGTGGCGGAGGTGGGTTAACTTGCATGGTGGTGGTGGCGAAGGTGGGTCAGCCTGCATGCTGGTGGTGAGAAGGGTTTCCCGGTAAGACCAAGCAGCCTGTAACCCGAGACCCCGATGTCTCTTGGGTCCCGATGTTTGGAGGGACCCCTTAATACTAAGGGGCACATCATAATTAACAGGCTTAAACAAGCTCACAACTACAAAAGCAGGTGGGAGTTTGTTAGAGTCCTTACAAATCTATGGGCTTTTATTTCCTAAAATGTGGAATATAACATGGGTGCAAAAAATGAAAAAAAAAGGGCCTCAGTCATGAAGGGGTTAATCTCTCTTCCTATACTCGTCAGCGCCCTCCAGGGGCACTAGTGCGAACAGCATCCCGGATGGAAGTTTTAATAAATGAAGCCCTATGCGAAGCAGTAATACATGGTTTCCGCATTGCACAGCAACTCCTGTATTGCAGTGCAATTCATTTTTTTTACTTCAATGCAGAAGGGGGCACCGTATTTTGGATAAGGCACCTTGTGGGTTTTGGTGCCCAACATTAAAGACAAAGGGGTAGAGTCTATTTTTAGCTGCATTGTTGTGGAAGCTTATTCTAAACAATGGGCTGCCTTAACGAAATGCACATTAACCTGCGCTATTGGGTGTGTGGATAGAGTGTGTGTGTGGGGGGGCTGTTGCATCTCAGCCTTTGCCCCGGGTGACAGAATGACTAGCTTCCCACTGCCTGCAGCCTCTTCTCCCATGGGCTCTGGCGGTATTAGGACTGTCTTATGCATGATTCATTGACTTGCATTAGATGTCGAGGATGCCGAGGGAAATTCTATAGCTGGAGAAGAGAGCTGAGTGCTGACCTCTGCGGGAGCCGGGATCAGGTAAATAAATCTGCTTTATTCCAGTCCATTGAGCAAAATGAGCCCTTAACCCCTGCAGTGTGGAGATAGCCCCACTGTGAGGGAAAAGGTCTCCTTTAATATTAACCCCTTCATGACTGAGGCCTTTTTTTTCATTTCTTTGCACCCATGTTATATTCCACATTTTAGGCCTGAAAATGACTTAAAGACACGAAACCTATAGAATAAAATGGTGGCAGTTGCAAATTTTTATGTTGCACGATATTAGCGCAACTCCTTATCAAACCCCAGAATTTAGTGAAAAATGTACTTAAATGCCCCAAAACACAATAAAATACCAATTTTTTAAAATAAAAGATGAGGTTACAACAAGTAAATAGATACCCAACATGGCCAGGTTAAATATTGTGTGCGTCCGTGAAACGGTGATAAACCCCAGTAACACAAAAAGTCAATTGACAATGCTTTAAAAGCCCCCACAGGTCATCCATTTAGAGATAACCAAAAATACTGGCCCTAGAGTTATTGCTGTCACTCCAGCGTGCGCGGCGATACCCAACATGTAGAGCGCGTTCGTCGTTTTCATACGTAGGCGCACCTGACGCGTGTTTACGTGGCGACGCTCGTGCTCGTGGGAGACTTTACATTTTTAAAATTATTTTTAGATTTATTTTATTTCATTTTCATTTTAAAAACTGTTATTTTTTTTAACTTTACTTTGATTGCTATCACAATCACCCCCCATGTGATAGCAGATGGTGGTGACAGGTCCTCTTTAAGGTGATGCTGGGGGTCCTTTACACTCCAAATAAGCTATTGAAGTGCAGATCGCAGGCTTCAGGAGCCTAGCACTGACAGCTTAGGAGGGGCAACGGAGCCCGGGCAGCACGGCGGGGGTGTCGGGCGGTGGGGCCCTTCACGGGACTGTAGAAGCGATCTGGCGACAGCTGAGTCGCCAGAATCGCTTCTATTGTAAAGCCGACAGTCGGCTTTACAAGTTTAAACAGAGTCCCGGCGGTAAAAGGGGTTAATAGATGACCTTTGTTATAGGTGTGATGTAGACCATTGCACAGCCACTGTTCATAATCCCTTCCACAAAATAAACACATGGCCACCCCCTTCTTTCTGGTCACCCATGGTGTGGAGACACGTGCGCCCTCCTGTTCCCGGTCTCATCGCCAGTATTTAAATTCAGGATGGGGAGAAGGTGAAACCTGAAAGTGCTCAGGACTTATCGCTTCTAGATTTGGTGTAACTGTGGCCCCCAGTGTTGGGGGAGAATAGCAATTTGGGAACTACCGGTATGTGTCCCAATCTCCTTTTGCTTCACATAGAGTCTTTAGGGGTCTATCTGGACCTGTGATGTCTTCTTAAAGTGGACCTGTAACTTTCTTTATACATGGTCATCATTGGATTGCTATGTGCCGATAACA